TTGGGGCCAGCAGATGGCATAATGGCTACATCACTGGGCTCCTACATAGTTGACAACAGTCTGAGTCCTGGACCTGGTGGCTTAAACTCACGCCGGGCGCGTGCGCATGTGTGCATGGCCAAGATTCCAAGAGGAGGATGGAAGAAGAGGTTGTGACGTGGCCATCCCCCCGGGGGTGGCTTCTTGCTTTCTATCTCTGTCTCTCTCTGTCTTTCCGGTGAGCACATGCACCCTACAGCAAATTTCTCTCTTAAAAAAATTAAAAAAATAAAAAGCAAGGATGCTGCCATATTCCCTCCTTGCCACATTCACCTTGAGGTACTTCCTATCTTTTAAGAGACAGTGGTTCGGGACCAGCAGTTAGCGTAATGGCTATGTCACTGGACTCCCATGTAGTCGACCGTGGTTCGCATCCCAGACCTGGTGGCTTAAGCTCAAGCCAGGTACGTGTGTGTGCGTGCCCAATATCCTGAGAGGATAATGGAGAAGGAATTGTAGTGTGGCCATCCCCCCTGGGGGGTGATTTCTCACTTTCTCTGTCTCTCTCTGTCTGGTGAGCACATGCGCCCTATAGCAAAAACCTCTTCAAAAAAACAAAACAAAACAAAACAAAAAAAGAGACAGTGGTTCATGGAAAAAGTGAGAGCCGAGGAAAGGGCCAGTGAGCGGGGCTTCAAGGCCACAGCTGCACAGCTGCCCGCCTCCAAGGGCGCCCCAGCCTCTCCCACCCCGCCTCCTCTGTCCAGGTATCAGGAGAGCAGTGGTGGGGCAGGGTGGTGGCACAGGGGATGTGGCCTGGTTGACGCAGGTTCATTTTTTTCACTTCTTTGGGGGGTGGTAAAGTCCCGCCTTCCCACAAAGTCTCCAGGGTCTGAATCAGCGAGGATCCCGAGTTAGGGTCACCACGGTATGATGGAAAAGGAGGACGGAGGTGCAGATGGCCCGCACTCCCCAGAGCGTGCTGACTATAGGCGGCTGGGGAGGCCCTCGGGAGGCCCTTGGGGAGGCAGTGTTTTTCTTCAAAGCTCCGGTGAAGGTGAGGGGTGCCTGACCTCCGGAGCCAGTGTACGCACGCCCCGGGGCGCAGACAATGGCTTCGGTGATCTCATCTCCAAGCGAAGCCGCCTGACGGCAGGGAGCTGAGCTGACGTGGGCGCTCGGCACTCCCAGGCCTCCCGACCAAGAGCAGTGGGCAGTGGCCGGGGGCAGTGCTGGACCTGGTGACCAGTATGGGCCGTTGGGTGACCAGGGGCTCCCAGTCATTTTGGGAAACCCACATGTCCTGACCCCGTGGCAGCAACTGTGGGCCGCATGGCCGCCGAGTCTGACGCGTTTCTGAGTCATAGGGCAGCCATGGCGTCTGCACCAATCACGGGGGTGGGCCCCTCCTCCCCACAGCCCCTGGCCAGAGCACCCACCTGGTGTAGCAGGGGTCCCCAGTGTCATCCTGAGGGGGTCTCCAGGTGGGCAGGGCTCAGCACGGGTGCCTCGTCCGGGAGGCAGGAGGCTGTCGGGCCGCTCTCCTGGGCCAGGGTGGTGCCCCTCGGCCCTGGCACCCACCTCGTCCTCGTCCTCGTCCTCTGAGCAGGGCTCATCTACGATGGACTGAGCACAGGGCCCGTGGGCCTCAGCGGGTCCGACTGGGGCAGCCCCGACTGGGGGACAGCCCCGGGAGTGCAGTCTTGCTGGTCCAAGTCCTTGCAGAGCACTGGACACGCACCCTCTCTGCTCCTGGTAACCCAGCCCTCCTAACCTCGGACCGTGCCCCAGCACCCACGGTCCGTCCTGCAGCTCCGTCTGTCCTGCGGGTTTAGCCATTGCAGGGATTGGACAAAGCCCAGGGGGGCTCGGGCTCACCCCGACCAAAGCCCCGGGGAGATAGCCTTTCTGGCGGGGCGTGTCTTCAGTCCTTGGAGGCTGGGGCGGGCCGCCTGGGGCGGGGGGGG